GGTGGGACAGGTTGAAGTCATGGGGGAGATAGATACTGGGTTCAAGTGCATGGAACAACAGGCCAAGGACTCCCTCTTTCAACCTCAGTGGCCGGAGAGAACGCCTTAAACACATTTATACTTGGAAATCCAAGTGGGTGACATTCAGGGGCTAAACTCCAAAGAAGCTGCTACGACCTAGTGCTCTGCTCTCTCTGGCCAATAAATACAAATACCTCTTGTGCCCCAGCCATGCCCTTTCCTAGGTCAAAGGGCACTGCTCATGGTCACTCATGCCTTAGTCACCTTCCAGTTGGAGTATTGCAATGCGTTTTCCGTGGGGCTGCCCTTGAAGAGCAATTGGAAGCTGCAGTAGGTCCAGAATGCAGCGACATGGGCAGAAACCCCACTGCTGTGTGAGCTGAACCGGCTTCCAGTAAGCTAGGTGCAATTCAAGGTGCTGGTTGTCATCTTTAAAGCCCTGCGTGCCACGGAGCTGGGTTACTTGCGGGACCACCTATCCTTGATGGTTTCTGCCCATTCCACTAGATCTGGCAGGGTGGGCATGCTCAGTGTCCCCTTGATGAAGCAGACTTGCCTGGTGGGGCCTCAGAAGCATGTCTTCGCTGCCTTGTGGAACAGCCTCTCCTCGGAGATACGAGTGGCTCCGATCCTTTGGCCTTCGGAAAAGCGGTGAAGACCTGGCTTTTCTCCCGGGCACTGGGGCTGAATAGGGTGGTTGATGGGGCTGGCATAGGGTGGTCGATGGATGAATTTGAGTTTTACCGGGGCCTCGACATGGTTTATTGGTTTAAATGGTCTGTGTTTTTATTCTGTTTGTCGCCCAGAGTTCCTCCTGGTAGATGGGCGGCTGTATAAATTGGTTTAATTAATTAATGAATTAATACAGCAGCTTTATTCACGTAGCACGCTGTGCCCAAACAGAGGAGCCACTCGATGGCTGAGTGGGTTGGTTTGGCTCGCACAAGATTCTCGGATGAGCTGGGTTTCGGCCGGCTGCCCAGCTTGGCCTAAAATGTTTCCCGAATCCAGAGGTACCTTATTGTTCTAGTAAAAAGTGTCACCCAAATGGCTGACAGACAAAGAAAAGGAAAAATTAACAAAATGCTGTGCCCATCAAATCAACCTCATCATAATGTGACAGGCATGTGGCACACTGAGTGGGAAGTTAGCTGTGCTTGCTTGCAGGGACATAAAGGCCTCCTTGCGTGATGCTCCTTCCTGTTCTTTGCTTGTAGAGCTAAGGCCTGGTGCTGGTGCTCGGCACGCCGGCTGACTCTAGCTGGGGGTTGGGGACCTTTGGCCTGATCCGGCAGCCAGGCTGTGCGGACCCCCGTGCCCGGGAGCCAGGCGAGTACCCGCGGCTCGTCTGGTTCCGTTGCCCACCCTGGCTGAGGCGCTGTGTTCCGGAGCCTGTCTTGCCAAGGCTCCGTTGCCGCGGGAGCAGCTCCCAGCGTTCCGATGCCTGCCCACCTGGAACCTCCCCCCAGCAGCAGGCTGGGCATTCCTGGTTGCAGCCCGCAGACTTGCCATGGCCCATGGAGCTGAGCGGGGGGAGTCCTCGGCCACGGTGGGGATGTGCTCCCCCGGAGAAGGTCTGTTCCCGCCCTGGGAAGGAGCAGCCGCTGGGGTTAAGGGGGGGTCTCCGAGGGGCTCCGCCTCAGTAGGGAGTTACTGCTTGGTGCCTGGTATCTTAGCTGCTCCGGGAGGGTGACGATGCAGTCGCTACAAAAACCGAGTGGGGGGTGTGTGGCTCCGTGTAGTCAGCTTCCAGAGGCCTTCTGAAAGAGCCAGGTCTCACTATCCTTCAGAAGGGCTCCAGACTAAGGGTCGTCTTCCTTTGGGGGGGCAAGCTGCGCCAAAGCAGGGAAGTCCCCACAGAGAGTGCGTGCCATCAGGCCCTCCCGCTGTACCACGTAAAATAGGGACTTTCAGCAGGCGCTCCCAGGTTATCCAAGAACAGAATCTACACGGTACGCAAAAGCACCTCACCCTGCTTAACGGGGTTACCAGCCCCTACGGTTGCACTCGGAAACCCAGCCGCAGCCCCCATAGCGAGGTGGGCTGCCCAGTCAGCACCTCCCGGCCACTGCGTTTTGGATCAGCTGATATTTCCTATAGAATGAATTACCCAGTGGCGGATTATGTGAGTCAGGCCAAAAGTCAAACTCTAAAAGGTTTCAGCATGGAATACGATGTGAATATACGTGTCGCTAATTTGGTTAGCATGCCCACATGAATTAATTAATTAATTAATTAATGGCAGGCTAGACATCTAATAATAGAAGCAGCAGCAGCGTTTGACTCAGGGTCATGCTTTGGGGAAAAAAGACTCAGTTTTATAACTGCCACCATTCGGTTGTTAAGGAGTTCAAGTAGCAATGGCTGCCCAGGTGAGGAAGTTAAGAGAAGCTGAAGGGATGAGCGTGGTGGGAGCAAGAAGGGAGTGTTCTGGTGCTGGCAGGTAACTCAAGAAGGAGCAGGCAAAGCCCTGGAGCCTGTCTCTCCCTGACCTCTCTCGCTTTTGGCAGCACCCGCACGTTGGACCCAGCAGAATTGACACCGCCTGTGCCATCAGGTAGCAGATACCATTCCTTGGGCCAACCGGAGTTGAAAACTTCTGAGCCTCAGAGACTCTTACCTGACATAGATTTCTGTAGATCTCTAACGCCCATGTTGCTTCACTGATCTGACTTTAAAGCAGAAGGGGTATTGACTATTTAGAATGCCTGTGAATGCTTATCAATCGTCTTATTGGCTTAAAAGTACGCAGGACACGCAGTAGATAATAGCAGAAAACTAGACAGAGCATAAAACATCTCCTGTGGTTTTTTTTATTATTGTCGTTTTAATTGTATTTTAATGGCTTTTTAAATTCTTTTCATTGTTTGGTTTTTTTCTTATTTTAATAGTGTGCACTGCCCTGAGTCACAAGTGTGAGATGGGGAACTATCTAAATTTAATAAAATAAATAAATATGGGAAGAGAGGTGAAACATTGGTGGTTTCAGAATCTTTATTTAAGCACAAAAGTGGGCTTTTTCTTTCTTCATAACTTTGTTTTGCTTATCTTTGATTTTCTGTTTTTTGTTTGTTTCAATTTACACGCGCGCGCACGCACGCACACACACATTTACTTACTTACTTACTTACTTTTAAAAAGCAGAAATTTCCTAGGGTTGCATCTCCTACCTTTTCGTATTAATAAAGCCATGTCATGTCCTGAATCTATCAAAAGCCATTACAGGTAGACCTCACTTACCAACTGCCTCGTTCAGCGACTGTTTGAAGTTATGACGGTGTTGAAAAAAATAACTTTATGCCCAATGCCCGCATTTACGGCCTTCGTAGCGTCCCTCAGTCATGTGATTGCCATTACAGTCAGTATGCATTGTCCTGTGCTTGACCCGTGGTTTATCATATTTCCTCCCCTTGCAGAGTGGAGAGATTGGAGAGGAAGGGATTACAAGAGAGTAAGCAAGCACACAGTGGGAAATACACATTGAAAGGAATGCGGTGGCACACTCAGCCTGGTGTATTCCCCATTGTGTGCCTACTTACTCTCTTGTAATCCCTTCCTCTCCAGTGAATGTAAATACAAACCTTAATCCCCTTGCTAATTATCTCAGTGCCAGGGTGAGCATTCCAAAGGGCAGGGGAGTTGGGAAAAGGAAAGCACTGTTATGGACATGTGATTTCCCGCTTAGTGATTGCTTCGCTTAATGACAGAGCTGCTGGTCCCAATTGTGGTCACTAAACGAGGACCCCCTGTATAAGCCAGTTTGCTCCCTGGTGAGCCTCACCCTCCATCCACCTCAGCTGCTTTAATTGCCTACTGTGGGACTGACGGTCATCTTGTGTTTTCCCTGCTGCAGAGACCATGAAAGAGCCCCGGCATCGTAAAGACAACCGGCGTCCAGATCTCGAAATCTATAAGCCTGGCCTCTCCCGCCTCCGGAACAAGCCTGCCTTAGCAAAGCAAGAGCTTTCAAGGAAGGAGGAGGCCCAGGAAGAGGATCCTGGCCACAGGGAGCCCTCAGCTGCTTCCTGCAGGGAGGATTCCCGTCCCGCCCAGGCCCCGCTCGAGGGAAGCAGCCAGCCGCCAAATGGCTTCCCGGAAGGGTCTCCCCAAGGCCGCCTGAGCACCCCCGAGGACTGGTGCCCTCGGATCATTAGACGGGCCAAGAAGCCCGACCAGCAGATCTACCAGCCTGGCAAACGCCTGCAGATCTCGTCCCGAGAGACGGTGGCTGCCCCACTGGCAGCTGAGGAGCTCCCCGTGAAGGAGGAGAGGGGAGCAGACTCTGAAAAGGATTCTGGGAGGGGCGGTGAGGGCCCCAGGAGGCCAGGGGACCAGGAAGGAGACCTGAGCCAGGAAGGGGCCAAGCCTCTGTGGGGGGAGAAGGGCAGGCGAGCTGAGCGGCCCAGGAAGACCAGGGACGAGCCAGGCCATGGCAAGGCCAGCCCCCCCAAGCGCTACTCACGCTCGGACAAGCGTCGCAGCCGCTACCGCACCTGCAGCACCAGTTCGGCAGGGAGCAACAACAGCACCGACGGGGCCCGTGGAGAGGCTGAGGCGGGGAAGAAGCCCCAGGAGAGGCCCCGTCCACAGAAGCAGCTCTCGGCCTCCTCCACCGACTCCCTCGAAGAGGACAGAGCTGAGGAGGCCCAGGAGACAAGGAGGCCCCCGGAGCACAGCTGGCTGTCCCGGAGCTTGGACGGGAGAGAGGCCAGAGGAGCCCAGGGGGGCAGCCGGGCCACAGGCAGGGGTCTCTCAGCCTCCCATCCCGACTGGCGGAAGGGCAAGCCCGCTGGGGCCGGCCTGAGGGGATCCGC